TGATGAGATTATCAGTCGACTGATGAGCTGAAAAATACCTCTAACGGTCAGCTCATCAGTTGACTTTTGGAAACCATCAGTCGACTGATGGTATAACGACTAGTTTTTTCAGTCTTTGTCATGTTTTGGTTTTTTGGTCTTTTTGCTGGGGTTTCTTGATCTTTGGGGTTTACTATAAATACCCCCTTATACTCAGCTCTATTTTAATAACCAAGAATGTTTTAAACAAGTTTAACAAGGGTTTAAAGTTTGTTTTAGTTTGTTTAAAAGAGTATTTAAGAGTTTTATTTGTAAAGAGAATTTCACAAGAGCAAGTGGAGATCATCTATTGTGTTTGAGCATCCAACTCTTCTCCCTCTTTCTCTTGATCTATAGAGAAGTTTTTCTAAGCTCTATTTCTAGCTATTTATATGTTTGAACTTAATTTCCATAAGCTAGATTTACATTGAGTTTAGTTTTGATTTATTTATCTCTTTATTCACACACAACCTATTGAGCTTATTGTATTTACATTCATAGTATAATTTGGGTTGTGGGTTTGTGACTTAGAGTGTGAGCTTATATTGTGTTCTCACCTTGTTTAAAGAACAAATCATTTTTTAATTTGAGTTCTTAATTATGAGTTCACTTAGTATTGTACTAGTACACTGAGAGAAGTGTGTGGTGAGAGACGGGGTCATCCCAAGAGGAGTGGGGTAGGTGGTAATACCTAGAGAGAGGTTGTAATTCCTAACATTTGAGGAAGACACGGGCTAGAGACCAACACTTGAGGTGGTAGTTAGTGTGTTTATATTGTGAGTGATTGTAAAGTTTTCGGTGAGCTAGAAAACCGAATTGTGAGGTGTAATACGTTATTCGAGTGAGTGTTAAAAACTCGATTGTGTAGTAAATTTCTCCCCGGGAGTGGAGAGCGGGGACGTAGGATGGAAGGTCCAAACTTCGTGATCATTTGATTATGTTTGAGCTTGCATTGGCGTTCATTTATACTTGTGCTCATTGCTTATATCGCCTATTGCATCTTGTCTATTTCATCCACTATATTGTTTGCCATTGCTTAGTTTACTTATCCTTTCATATATACATTGTTACATATCATATTTGCTAGGATATTTGTTAATTAGTTTTAAATTGGCATAAATCGAATTAGATTAGCATAAACCCTATTCACCCCCCTCTAGGGTTCATTCCTAGTGATATTAGGACTTTCAGCTCCTATGTCACTCGGGTACTTCTATCATGAAGCTGTACTCATACCCAACACGTATCCAACACTTGTCTGTACCCAAACTTCATGGACCCTCCTTGGATATATGCATACGTTTATTCTGACATGTGCTCAATTATATGATATATGTTTTAATTTAAAACACTTGTCAAACACTTCTTAAATGTATATCTTACACTCCATAATGCTCACATACATTTCTTAAAACTCGTTAGGCATAGTTTGGGTTCATTTCAGCCCATACCCAAGTTCAATGCTATGATTTTAAAGGATCGTTTTGAGTGTCTAGTTCATATCTGAGCAGTTTCCAATTTATAATAACCCAGAAACTAAAAAACATAATAGGAATTCTAATTCAAGTAACACAATAATTGAAAAATAATAATAGTCTTATGTAAATTATTAATCTCAATATACATATGCATGTTTACCCTCTAGAAATGCATCCTGCTTTGATTCTTTCCAACTTCTAAGTTGATTAGCTTGAGAAACAATAATACTTATAACATGATCATCTAAAGCTACACTATAAAGCAATATTTTCTTGCATATTTGTATCAGCTTTACTAGAACTGACCACATCGTTAAGTCTTGTTTTCAATCTTGGGAACAAGAACAATTGCGTAGATTATTATCATGCATTACCTTACAGTTTTGCACATCTATGTTTTAGTGTTCCTCAAATTCAGGATGGAGGCAATTAAAAGCAATGTCTCTTTTAGATTCTCTTGGCATAAAAGATTGCCACATAGTATGATAAAAATACCCTAGAGGGGGTGAATAGGGTAATTACTAATTTAATCTGATATTAAAGCTAAATTAAAACTTATTAACTAATATATCCTAACAATGTGATATACGGATGAGGAAATATATATGACTTAGCCATTAGGATTTGTAGATTGAAAAAATCACTATACGGATTGAAGCAATCTCCGAGACAGTGGTATAAGTGATTCGATGGGTTCATGCTCGGTCATTTGTATATTAGGAACCAGTTTGATCATTGCGTGTATTATCACAAGTTGTGTTGAGGTGCGTATATTTATCTGTTACTTTATGTCGATGACATGTTGGTTGCTTCTATTTCCAGTCACCATAAATAACTTGAAGATACAGCTTTTGAGCGAATTTGAGATGAAGAATTTGGGTGAATCAAAGCGTATTTTGGGGATGGAGATCGACAGAGACAAAGATAAGGACATAATTTATTTGACACATGTGACTTATTTGAAGAAGGTTTTATAACGATTCAATGTGAGGATGGAGATGAAGCTAGTTTGTGTACTTTTGGGAGCCCATTTGAAGCTTTTAGCTGACTTCTCACCGAAGACAGTTGAAGATAGAGAGTTGATATCGAAGACTCCATATGAGAACTCAGTGGAAAGTTTGATGTATGTCATGGTATGTACGAGACCGGATTTGTCGCAAGCAGTGAGCATGGTTTCACGATACATGCACGACCCGGGTCCGGGTCATTGGGATGTCGTGAGGTGGATATTGAGATACATTTGAGGTACTCTCAACATTTATTTGGTGTTTGAATGGGACACTAGCGGTAGGAAGCTATGTATTGGTTTTGTCGATTCAGACTATGTTGGAGATTTGGATAAATGCCAGTCGACGACGTGGTATGTGTTCACTTTGACCCATGCACCGGTGTGTTGGAGATGCACCTTACAGTCTACAGTGGCTTTTCGACGATGGATGTAGAGTATACAGTGATTACGGAGCCTGTTAAGGAGGCAATTTGGCTTCGAGGACTTTTGGAAGATCTTGGTGTTTCAGAGCGATCCGTCACCGTTTATTGTGATAGCATGACGCTATTTATTTGGTAAAGAATCAGGTTTTCCATGCGAGGATAAAGCATATCGACGTTCGTTATCACTTCGTTCGAGATGTTCTTGAAGATGGGGATGTGGAGCTCGTAAATGTACACACAAAAGACAATCCAGCGGATATGCTCACGAAGGTGGTTCCGAGCAACAAGTTTGATCATTGTAGAAGCTTGTTGCAAATTCGTGCTAGTTGAGGTCTGTCGCGGCCATTTGGATGAACTATGAGCGGCTTGATCCCTTGGGAGAGGGGGTACGTAGGCAACCACAATGGTGCAGCCGGATTTGACGAGACGACGTATTGGTACTCTTGTTGGTGTCAGGTCAGTTTTGGGAATACTTCGTCGAGGTGGAGAATTATAAAAAACGACGAAAAAATGATGAAGAAAACACAGGTACAGGGTATCTTCGGGTTAGTCGACCGGTGGACCAAAACCAGTCGACTGATCGCATGAACACTACAAGGCTAAAAATCAGTCTTCTAGACAGTCGACTGATGGGAAGTCATCAGTCGACTGATGATGGGCTACCAGTTGACTAATGAGTTCCCATCAATCGACTAATAGCAAATATTGGGCCGGTTTTTCAGTTTTTTGTTTCTCAGCCTGTTTTGGATTGTGTTTTGATATAAATTGAAACACGTTTTTTAGGGTTTATAGGAGAGTTGTAATCATAGAATTGTGAGACTTTTGAGCACTTTGAGAGGGAGATTATTGTGAGGGAGTTAGAGATCTTTGGTTGGGTTATTTTGAGAGTTTGTGGGAGTTGTAACCCGTTGTTTTCTCCTCTATATAGTAAAATCTCCCTATCATCTCCCCGTGGACGTAGGCAATTGCCGAACCACGTAAATATCCGTGTTTGTGATTGATTTGTGCCGTTTTTTTGTGAATTACACTCGTAATTAGTTGTTCTCCTCTCATTACCCGCCGACTCGTTTGGTTTGTGCGCACGCTTCCTCCGACGCGCAACACTAACCAAGCACGCTGTAAAGATTATGTCATATTATTATAAAATCGACACTATATTTCACTAAACCATACTTCATTAATTAACTTCTATTTTATACATAGGGCGTTAACGGAAACTATAGTTTTTAAGAGTGACTGATATAGACCAGAGATGATGATCCTCAGAGCAATGTATTTTGAACGAACTGAGAAGATTGGGAGAGTGTCATGAACTCGAACCCTTATTCAATATATCAATAACAATCAGTCTATATATTATTTCATCGGGAATGTGCCCATCACAAGTACAAAAGCGGAGAGCCGAGCCAACGACCTCCGCCTATTGAATGGCCAAAGCCTAATTAAACTTCGAAACTTGATGTGGTTTTTGCCATGACAGCCCACAGCTTTCGTGCGTTCAAAACCGTCCAATGAAGGTCCGCAAAAGGCTAAGCTAACCCTTCCCTACACACACAAGACATCATTTGCACCCTTAAAATATTCCTATGATCGATTAGGAAAATTTTTCCCATAGAAAATCATACGGGAAGACGCCAAATTGAATAATCTGATCAAGCATAAATCTTAACGTCCACATCACTATCAATTAATTGTTGGAGTAAGGGTGTTTATTAAGCACAATCACTGCTCGCGTAATCATGGGCGACTTTACTATATTGTTTGCTATCGATAGCGATGGGCGTGTCAAGATTTTGTTATGCCTTACCTATAATGTTTTCTATGAGGGCCACCTATAGGTGTTTTTTTTTTCCTATGATCACGTACGCTTCATAGCGTGGTGTTGGCCCTTTGTGACACCCAAGAGCTGATTCAGTCTCACCGACTACAAAAAATGATCACCATAAATCCTCACATACTCCCACTTCCGAACCATCACAAACGCAGACTAAAACCAATCGCCAAATGTCTCCGTCAACCTCTCTACAGCAATTCCTTGCTCCTCCTCCAGCAACCACCC